ACTCTGAGCTATTAGTTAAGTTCTCCCCAAGCGAGCTCGATGGGCCGAATGGCCTCCTCTCGTTTGTATAGTTCTTATGTTCTTATGTTCTTATGTAAATGCACATCGCTCTACTCTATCAGTATAATATTGTACTGAAAAATATTGCAATACTACACTGTATTGATCTTTTCTCCTGCCTCTGTTCATTTGCATCAGTTACTGGTGCCTGTTCATAACTGTGTTGGCAATATCTTGCCTGTAAAGGAATAAACTACTATCTGTAACCTGTACTAAATGTTGAATTTTAGTGCAGTTTATCTGAAAGTTCTTTTTTTTTTTTTGGTTGCTTGGTTTTATTTGTTGTATTTATTTAGAATATTTGCTTTAACGTTCCATTGTCTGAATATTCTTAAGTTAAAGGTTCATTGCCCTCTTAAATTGACCGTTAACCACAATTATTTCTAGGGTCATAAATTGTCAAACAAAAGTAGTTATTATGACAGGACTATTTAACATCCCTCCGTATAAAACAATGCCTCGTCTTATTGCCATCTGTGCATTTTTAGCATTTTTGCCAGTTTAAATTCAGCTTGCATCTGCTTACAGATAGTAAATGTTTACGTTAAGCTATTAAATATAAAAGAAGGGTCATTCAAACTTTTAAAAATTTTTGAACAAAAAATCTTACAATGAAATGCAACATTTGTTTTTTGTGGAGAGCAGGTATAGGTATAGGTTTTAGGTGTATTAAAATTGTCATTTGTTGCTTTTTTTATTTATTTATTACTGTTTTCCCTAAATAGCTAGCCAAGAATGACATTATATGATTTGTGTGTATTCAAACTTACTTAGTAGTTATAGATATGATAGGATATGAGTTTGTGAGAATGACCCATTTTACCCCCCCTTTGTGTTAAATCTAAATGAATTTAGGGATCAGTCTGTAAATATTTCTGATCATAAGTGTTAATGTTAGGTGCATTTAAGTGCTATTAATTACAGAAAACTGTGCAATTAGTTAATTTTTTTTTATCGATTCACAGCTCTAATAATAAAGCATTTTGTTAAATATATCCAGTGTTTTGCACCATTTTAAATGTATCCACAGTAATTTACACCATAACCTGTTTTCTGTACTTGCAGCTGCTGGAAGAAGTTTTCAGCTGGTTTAATGGCCAAGATTCCAAAGTATGGAATCCATGTTCCAAAGAATTTCCGGTGTAAGTATCCCTTTTAAATACATATCAGTGTTTGGATCTCGAAGTTCTCCATTTCCATCTTCTATTTCCGTTCCCCTCTAATTATCTGATTTACATGACTAAGAACTAGGGTTAGGCGATATAAACTGTTAATTTGTCATATAAAATTTAAACGTTAGGAAAATTAGAAACTTGGTAAACTGTCTAAGGTACAATGCTTGATGGTACACAGCCTATCACATCACAGAAATAGACATTCCAACCAACGGTAGTCTTTTTACCACAGACAATCTATGCCCAACAAATGGACAGCAAGGATGATTGAGTTAGCGGAGCATGCCACATGCTACTGTTTTGGAAGATTTAGGGTTCCCTCTGAGGTAACTTCAGTGACAAAAGTAACAGCTCAGCAGTCACATCATTTGTTTAAAAAGGATATACTGTTGACCTTGGCAGTTTAAAGTCTGATATACAAGAGACTGGTGCTGTGTACTGAACAACTCTGCTGAAAACTTTGTGGCAATTAAAACTGGAAATACTGTTTCCCCACTTGAAGCATATTCATCTAGTATTCACTTAAAGGATGTAGATGCATTATCCCCGTAGATTAGTGGGAATTGGGTCCCATGTTGGTTCAAAACAGAACATGGCATTTTATTTTTCAGTATGGGATGGATGGCAACTCTACCAGCAATGTCAATCTCAATCCTCAAAATGAGTGGCGATGCAGTCGGAGGGGAAAAAAGAGAAACATACTGTACTCTACATTTTCTAGTGTTGCATACTATGACAAGTTTATTTGTATGATTTATTAAAATTAGATTTCAGGTTTTTTTTGTACTTTACAGAAAATCACAAACACAACGAAACAACAAAACAAGCAGTTGGTCACCTGTGCATTCACTTAGATACTGTACTGATGTGGATAACACTGTAGCAACATGTCCACAGATAGTTGTTGAGCAGTACTGAGTGTAACCAATTTAAATGACATGATATAAGTGCTAATATACAGTATATAACTATAGCTTATACTGCGGTTGATGAAGGGGGCAACCATCTCGAATTCTGAGGTTGTGGTTGCCCATATTCCACCAACTTTGAGTCGAAACTGACTTCAAGTGGCATGTAAAACTCATCTAACACTGTCATGTCTATCAAAACCTGTAATTCTGGTATACATTCTATTCTTTTAGGTAATATTGCCACATAGCGCTTATCTACATTCAATACAGAGATTTAAATGCACAATATTCTTTTCTGTCTTCTCCTGAAGCTTATTGTTCTTTATAGTATCCAAATGTAGGGTTAAATATAGAGTGTCTGAAAATATTATGCAAATGTGATCATTTGAAATATCTTTTGAATACCATAACCGTATTGGTCAATAACTATACATGTTAAAAAAAGATTGCCTGTGAAATTTTTTTGGAAGATCAGTTATTCTTAAGTTCGGTTTTGGGCCATCTGAAGAATGTGCTATCCATCCATGTGCAATAGTTCACTCTGTTCTGCTTCACCCCGTCATGAACTTTGAACGGCCCAGTGACTGTTTCTGTCAGTCCCTGCTTTGATCATGATCCCACATGATCAGTCTTTCAGGAGCTTCCCTATTACACAAGACCCATCCTTGTGGGCCATCTAACGTCACCCATGATTCATCAGCAAAAATCACTTTAGTAAAGTCAGTTTCTAAGTTTTCTCTGGCCCACTTTACACCTTCCTGATTATATGCTTTATTGAGGGGTGGTGTGCTGATAGACTTCCTGACTTCGCCTAGTGATCTAAGGATTCTACATCTCTTGTCATGTTTTACACCTGTCACCTGCCTTGTTTAAGGTTTCTGAATTGCTTAGCAAGTGATATTTAATGGGAATCTGCTTCAATTTAATGTCCTGGACATTAATGTTCTTAATCTTTTCCTTTGGTTGGTGTTCACTTTTTGTTCACATCTTTCACTACTTTCTTTCACAGTTCAGTTGTCTCTTGGTGATAACTTTGAAATCTGCAGTGTTTTAGCATCAGCTACTTGGAGTCAAACCCTTTAGTTTGTTAGGATTCAAGTTTGGGCTGAATTTGGATATTCCAGTCCCCTCCACATATTCGAACTCTAGAAGATTTCCTTAATGTAAGATTTGTCCTGAGCTGGCTGTGTATACACATTGATCAGTATTACTACTTTCTGATTTAAGATATTCCGTAACCAAAACATCACCCATCTTTGTCACATAATTGAGACCACTTGAAAATTCACTCCATTAAAAATTAGTACTACTACACCTCTCGTTCTCCCATTCTTATATAGTAGGATGAATAGAATACATTTTTGAAAGCTTTTTTTTTTTTTTATCCTATTCATGTTCTGTGCAATTGATATGAATCTCCCTAGAAAATATTAGGTAATTTTTCCCTTTTCGTCTTTGCAATAACCATATCCCCTTAAATGGATTGGGTAAATAATTAAGGGTAATTACACTATATTCCTGAGACTTCTTTTGATCCCACAATCTACATAAATATAAGCACGATATGCTTTTAGTGACCCTACTTGAGCTACTATAAAATAAACATATCAATATTTTTTTTTAAATCAGTAAATCACCTCTTAATGTTAGGTGGAACAGTACAGTAAACCACAAGGGCCCCCTCTAGTGCAACATATGTTGTCTCCACTACAACATTGTGTACACCCAAATATTCATTTGTCACCATTTCTTACCCTTACCACACAGCTATTTCTCAAAACTTAGGCTAAGGGTAGTTCTCAACTGTAAAATAAAGATTCAGTCTCATACAAAAAGGGAATCTATTAATTGTATACTTAAAGTAAACATTCTTATTAGGAAGGTGGGAGTCAACAATTAACAGGCAACAGGTAGGCTATAATTTTTACTTCCACAGCCTAGGTGTCGAGTTCTGTCACTCAATATAAAAGTCATTAAAACCTGTCAGAGATCTTGCTTACCCAGGCCTTTGCTAATATAGTATAAAATCATTCATCAACATTCTTCTTGGCCTCATCCTCATGTCAGTTGTGTATTTAAGATCTGTCGCTACTTCACCTAGCTTCTGTTGGCTTTCCTCTCTTATCAAATTTCTTCAAGTCATCGCTGAGTCTGTCTTGGAAATTGTTCAGTTCTAACTTTGTCCCCTTAATATCTGCATGAGTTTTGGCAATGCCACCTTCCATAATTGATACTGCTAACTGTCTGTTTTTCCCGGGTCCTCCATTACACACCATGTTCTCCAATCCCTACTTTCTCACTTCTCTCCCAAGCTGTTTCCCCTTGCCTTTTCTTCCCCTTACAGTGTAAGTGTAACACTTATGACTAGGGTTGTAATGATATACTCAGCCCACGAGATGAGACACGATATTGGGTTCACGAGAACAAGACAATATCTTAATATTTTAAGGAAAGCTTCAAAGAGGAAATATATTACTGGAAAGCAGCCTTTTATTTGATTAATTTGAAAGACGAAAAAATGCTAAATAATGCAGATGTATGGTGAAATGTTTTAAATCACCATCTTCATATGCAGTAAAGAACAGAACAAATATCTAGCACCATAAAATATTTCACCACAAACTCAAATGACAGGTTTGTCTCGTATTTGACTTCTCAATTGAACGTAAGATAGAATATAAATAAAACAATATAAATAACAAACATTTTTTTTGTTTTCTTCACCGGTGCAGTGGATTTTAAGTAAAGAGCTATGATGGTGCTGTAAATGGCTTTGCATAGTAGTTGCATTAGCCGCTGTGTACGGCATTATTTTCCTACAGTGCTTACATATGGTTCGTGTTTTGTCTGTTACCCTTTCACCGTTCATTTTTTCCACCGGATACCCAAAATCCTGCCACACAAAAGATTTAAAAGTGTCTGGGGCATCTGCTATGGTAATTTCATCAGACGCTGACTTGCTTACATCAGCTGATTTGCAGCGCCTTCGCTTTTCACTCCGACAAGAAATCTTGTCATGTTGTAATATCGCGAGACTTCGTGACACCCCTACTTATGACCCTATTTAGGGTCCACTTAGTAGTGCTACTGGCCAGTTCTAGGTTCGATGGGAGTGGTGGGGGAAAAGATAATGACACCTCAAAATTTAGGGCAACAACCTTTAGAAAATATTAATTCTAAACCCTATGACAGCCTGCTGTTACGACTCGCTGCAGCCAGCCTCAACCGCTTCTGCAATAAAAGATACCGTGCTCTCCACGTTACGTCGTGACATCTGCATACAGTAATCTTTTTTCTTAGATATAAATTATTGTTTTGTTAATATACTGTAAATATGTTTTTGTTTGACCAATTTATAAATTATTGTTGTAGTAGAAATAAATTTAATGACCTGTTGTCATGTGGATTACAGAAGGCCAATAGAGCACAAAGCATTCGTTAATGTAGTAAGTATTTTTTTGAGACTGCGTTTATACGAGCGAAATAACTATGTGATATCGTGATTGATATCGTAAGTCGTAACAGTTCTTCTCTAAAACACCTGGCCTTTTTCAGTGGTGCAAAGGCATAATATGTGTGTGGGTTATTTTTTCCTATAGATTGGTCAGTATCAGTGTTCTGATTTTAAAAATAAAATTGCACATTGATGGTTCCAACTTGTGAAATGTGTAAATGTTTGAAACAAGTCCACAAAAAAAAATCTGTAGAGTGTCCAGCAGTAGTACCATGTTGGCCCAAATATAAGATGGGTTTTTTTCCCTTCAATATGCATCTGAAATAAATTGTGTCATCTTGTATTCGAGGGCTAGACAAAAAAGAAATAGATGGAGCCAAATACGATATTTTGTGATGTTTCGACATATTGTAATAGATTTCCCGTAAGATTTCTTGTGTGAGCATGAGAGTCAAACAGCGTGTCAAGCCAGATGTGTGAAGGTAGGCAGCCCTGCCAATTCATGTGTTTAGCATGTGTATCACTACTAGTGTTACACCGACAGTGGTTGTTAATAAAGTATTTAACCCCCTTGAAACTCATGATGATTGTCTTGTGTATAAAATATATATATTCACAATTTTCTATGTATATATTAACAATTTTCTCAAAATAGGTCACTTGTCTACTAACACGAAAAAGATACAAATAAAAACATATGTGCTGTTTGCATAAGTATTCAACCCCAGTGCTTTGGAAGCTCGAGGTTTACACAAATGACCAATTAATCACAAACAGCACAGTTGTGACAGTTATTGGACCATAATTAAACTTAATTAGGTACTACTTAGTCTTGATGTTTTTCTCTGGATATAACAAAATGCCCTTGGAAGGGCCATTGTCTTTGTTGAACAATCAATGCAAAAATGTCCCCTTTTTTTCTCACATTTTGCTAATGTGAGAAACAAAGTAATTGAAATTCCCAAGGAATGAAAAAAAATATTGAAGAGCCTGAATGTCCTGTTTAAACACTGTTGGTTCCATCATCAGAAAGTGGAAGGTTCATCACAGCCCCCAGACCCTTACTAGAACAAGCCTCCACTAAAACTAAGCATCAATGCAAAGACGTTGACTGGTGAGAGAGGCTAATGAAATCCAGCTGTCACACTCAGAAGTCTGCAGTGCTCTTTAGCTGAAACTGGAGTGAAGGTGCATGGGGCTACTGTTTCAAGAGCTCTTCATAAAATATGCCTTTATGGAAGGGTAGCAAGGAGCCATTCCCTAAGATTACATAAAAGCACATATGGCATTTCCGGCAAAGTATGAGAGAGACCCAGTTAAGATGTGTGAGAAGGTTTTATAGTCAGGTGAGACCAAGATAGAACACGGCCCATGCCTCAAACATCATGCCCATGGTGAAATACAGCGGTGGGAGCATCATGCTATGGAGATGCATTTCATGTACTGGGACTGGGAATCTTGTCAGAGTCAAGGGGGCAAACACAAATACCGCACAATATTGTAGATGAACTTGTTCCAGTCTGCTATGAACCTATGGCTTGGGAAAAGATTAATTTTTTACCATGACAGTGACCCTAAGCATAAGGCCAAGTGACACTGGAATGGTTCAAAAACAGGAAGTTGAATGTTCTGGAATGTCAGAGTCAAAGCCCTGATCTTAGCTCTATTGAGAGTCTGCGGAACTATTTTAAAACTGCTGTACAGAGGTGCTGTCCCACCAACGTAGAGGTTCTCTTTGAGTTCTGCCATGAAAAATTGGGAAGAGTCACTTCTGAACAATATGCAAGACTGGCACATACGTATCCCAAAAGAATCAAGGCTGCTATTACAGCAAAAGGGTTCTTGACAAAATGAATATGTTGAGGTTGAATACTTATGCAAACACTAAATTCTGAGTGTTTCTTCAGTTAAATATCTACAGTAGATGGTTCATTTTGACTTTGGAAATGCATTGTTACAGCATAGGAGTTCACAATAAAAATGCTGAATGGACAAATATGTGTACAAATCGTTTATCATGCAGAAAAGTGACAACTTTCAAGGGGATTGAATACTTTTGCAAGCCACTGTAGTAAAATTAATTTTAAAAGAGTTGTCATGTCATTTATTAATATGGCTCAACCTTTCTCCGTAATATGCTTTTTCCACCTTCATGTGGGTCTGCTGCTTCAGAAACATTCTACATATTACAAAAGTTGTGGACTTTTGTAATATTCACTATCTACCTCCCATCCCAATAATACATTTGTTTTTTGGAATGTTTGCTGTTTAATACACTTATTGTAAAGCATTTGTCTGTGGTTGCTTTTGAAGCTAAAAACTTTTTTTCTAAAAAAAATACACTCAGTGGGGGAAAAAAAAGTTAAGCACCCAGATGGAGTGGTGGAAATAAAATGAATCTACACGTGGTGAAAGGTCACATGACTGTCGCAACAATTATAATTTCACATCAAACTGACAGCAGTCTTAGCAGTCTTAGCAGTCTTTGCAGTATTGCAGTATTGGCACATTGCTTCTCCCATGTCAGCCCCCCCCCCCCCCTTCAGAATTTACATACAGTTTGTGAAAATAAAGCAATGTTAATTCTGTTCTTAATTTGTTTGTTTTTCTCTCAAGTACCGATAAGAGTACAGTTAATGTAGCGGATCGATAAGCAGTATCGGTAAGACTAGTGAGTACCATTAAAATCTTAATACTCATCCCTAAGGAGAGTTCACCATTGAAGAGGCTGAGTGTTGGGATGTCACCTTTGATGTCACATTTACTCTTGCTTATGGCTTCCGTCGGGTGTGTATACTGTCTGCTAGTTTGTGGAAAGTAACTAGTTTCTTGCTTCTCCTCGAACTGCTAGTGGAATGCTGTCCAACGCGGTGCTGCCTCCATCCACTGAGCATGTGTATGCCCAGTGGCGAGAGAGGGAGGAGCAAAAGGCTATGGTGCTGTCTTGCACCCAGAATGTGGATGATGGGGATCTTGAGGACAACACTGAAGAGAGGACCCACTTCTCCACTCCAGTGACAAGTAAACCAGTCACCAGCTATTTTCGAAATATGCGCAACCACAGATTAAAACTCAAAGGTAACTATTTTCCATATGACCCTGAATCATTTAGCTGTCTGGGTATTTTACTGTCATATCTCATGCATGCATAAGAAATTCTACCAAATGAATTGGTTCTTTTTGCTCATGGGAGGATTTTCCTGTAAAATACAGGAAAGAAGGGCCGACCCTCCAAAGCAGACTTGGACACTGGCTGGTCTAAGGAAGATGAACGGCAGTGTTCCCTTTGTCAGAAATATGGTGATGCAAAATCCAATGTGAGTATAACCTCAGATGCCTCTTGAACCGATGCCTCAGTGAACTACCTTCAGATGTCCACTGAACTTCAGCTTGATCTGTGTTCCTGAGTTCATGTAAAGTGAACTTGAACAGGTCATGTTTCATGTATGAGTGTGCAAACATCAATTTAAAAAAAATTACACTTCAAGCATTTTTTATATTACCTTAGCATTTCTTTCCCACGTATTTTTTTTTCCTCCACATGAAGCTCCACAGTGTTATGAAAATGCCATTAGAATAAAGCATTTTGGGTTCAATTTTGATCCTATATTTTCTCAAAAGCGATTAATGCTAATTATATAATTTTTTAATAAATACCCAGAACTATGTTACACATATAAAAAGTAAAGGATGTACTGTTGCTCCTTCATTATGAAATAATTTATTGAGAATAGGCAATTCACTAGTGGTACTTAAACAGGCGGAGTCAAAAAGAATGTACTATTGAAATAGAAATCTGTCTCCACAATGTAATAATTATGTAATTGTGTCTCCACAATGTAATTAGGACTTCTTCTTGTAACAGTGTTTGAAGAAGGTATCGTTGAAATTGGCAGTAGATCTTAACTTTTACATCATCAGCAAATCTGAGAGGTCTGACAAGTTCGTCACTGATTATTGTTGCCCGCACCATCACTCTGCCACCACCTAGTTGGGGCTTGAAGGGGTCCATCCACTGGCCCATCCATTTCCACCATCTAGAATTCTCATCTCTTGTGTCCACAAAGCCTTCATGAACTTGAGATGTGCCTGTTCCTATTCATGATCTTTTAGATTGTGTGCTTTATTGAGTTGAGGTTGTGTTTCAGTCTTTGTGACCTTAGCAATGTCACATAGCACACTTCACCCAGTACTTTTGGTGATTTTCAAATTGCAGTTTTGAAAAACATGGGTATTTGTCACACAACACTTGATTGTGCAGCAATTATGTTTAAAAATTTTGGGAATTTCTATTGCTTTGCTTCCCTTCGACTGCTATCTGTAATTTAAATAGTAATAATCTGCTTAATAATTTTGCACAGAGAAGTAGCTACAGTTCCCCATTTTACTCCAGACCAAATACTGAGCTTGCTCTATTGTTAAACAGTTAAGAAAACATACAAGCAGATACACGCTTATCCAATTCTGCATGTGGTTTTTGTGCTCACTGGCCCAAAGGACTGCTCTAATGCCGCTCTTCCACTGCCACAAGGAACTGAACCGTACCCAACTCATACCACGAACTGACAGTTTTCATTGCCAAAGTATGAGAGACATACTCGATCCATACCCACACTGACACAGCCTTGCTTAGCTGTACCAGTGCCAAAAGTGTAACCCAACCAAGCTGGTTGTCACCACCATCTGATGGGTCTAAATGCATGGAGATTACGGTGCTCTGTGCATGGATTATCTGAAGGAAAAGGCGTATTTTCTATATCATTCATTATCAGTAGTATTACACATCGCAACATACTGGTGTCAGCAGTTTTGGCTATCAGTATTCATTCTTTGTCACATGCAGGGGCACAGAAACATTGTGTTGCAACCCAAAGTAACAATCTATTTCATTTTTCACCATTGGCATTCATAAATATTGTAAATTAAGTCATTGTCACTGAGTTTTGAGTTTCATCATCTAATTTTCAGTGCAAATTCAATGATTTTTAGTGGACTAGTTTGTTAGCTTGTTCAGATTGGTTAAATATCTTGAAGGAACTATGCTGGCATGATAGGGTAATACATTGTTTATTCCAAAAAGAAAGGATATCGGAATTTATATTCAGTTAGCTGACTGATTAAAATAAGAAAGATTGGTCATAGGGCCAACTAGGGCTGTGCGATATGGCATAAAATTCATATTGCGGTATAATTTGAACCATAGATGGTATATATTGCGATATATAATTTGATCTATAAATTTCAATATGATTTTGAAAGGGTAATATATGTCCATAGCAAAGGCATTGCAGCAGGAAGTTGTATAATAAACTAACACATTTTAAAGTAGAATATTTATTGTGCAAATCTGCAATTATAGAAGACATATGAAAATATTTCAAGTAACTTCCCTGGTTTTATCTTATTAAAAACACAGATTGGTTTTGTAAACTGTAGGTAAGCAGAAAACAAGACAGAACCAAAAGCTACAAAACTAATACAATTAGACTAGTGTCATAACTCCATCTATATTAGAATGATCATCTCTCCCATAAAGGTCCCGCCAGGCCTGCATGGGCTCGGGTACCCGCTGGGTGACCCACAAATTTTGATGAAACGGGTGAAAAATATTCTACTGTGTCGGATACGGGTTCAGGTGGGGTTGGACTAGAGTCCTGCACGGGTCCACTTTTGGAGACTTGCACTCACCCGCACAGTACAGCACCACACCCACCCGTGCACCCGTGATTATTTCAAAGTTAAATCTGCACTTGCCTGGGCCCGTTAACATTCTGCCCATTACCCACCCGTACCCGTGATAAATTACACACAATTATTTTTTCTATGCACCTCTCAACGTGACAAGCGCTAGGCCTACATGAGTTTTTAATTGAAATGAAAAAGTCAGTTTAACACAAAATCAAATCAGATAGATCTAAGCTATCCATACTGTGACAAGTGTGAAAGAGAGAACACGACGACACGCTTCAGCAAGGATTCAGATGTGTATGTGAATGTTTGTCGAAGCGGTTATCTAATGGGTGCATTAGTTTTTCTCTTGGAACTCTGAAATTCCGAGTTCAGTGACAACACATCCGACAATCTCCCGTTCGAGCTACCACATCTCGGAAGAAACATGGCTGCCTCCATGAACACGCTGCTGTGTGTTGTTGCTTTATATATTTGGAGTGATATTATTTTTTCCGAGAGACAAACAAGAAACACGAACTAGTCAAACCACATTAAAAGCTTTATAAAATATTTTAGCACATTCATAGCAATATTCTTTTTTCAAGAGGCAAACAAACTACAAACAAACCAAAGACACTAACAAGTCAGGTAAAAATCTGATATTGCATGATAGGATACTGTTTACAGTCATGATATGGTATTCTCTAAATCGAACACGTGCAGTTACATTTATAACTATTGATACATTTAACAAAATAAACATTTTTAAAGATTTATAAAATAGAATTACTGTTGAGTGTGTAAGCCGCCATGTTGAAATTACGTCACAGGGGCAACTCGGACAACAAAATCTTGTCCGACATCAATGTGTTTCCGACCGGAAGTGACGTTCAGTATGTTGGGGGCACCATAAGGTACCCCCGACATACTGAACACACTGTGATGATAGTCACATACATAGATATTTTCGCTCATATGTTATTTTTGCAGGCTACAATACTGTTTTGATTGACCTGCTACCCGCCCGTGTGTAATGAATTACCCGCCCGTGAAATTCCAGAACATTAAAATCTGCCCCTTTCAGCAACTATCCCTGTACCCAACCCGGTGCAGGTCTCTGGGTCGGATGCAGGAGAGCGCGGGTCTAAATTGCGGTTTTCAAAACATTGTGTGCCAACAAAGAATACCCTAGGGCTATAAAAAAAATCCCTGTTTTCAAGATGATAAAACATAAAATCCATATCAGTTCATGACTGCACACGCATTTCCGGAAATCTCTCCCACTTTCATTTTTGAAAACACGCATGCGATCTCCTGCAGTTGTTCGAAATGGATGCTGAGGAGTTGAAAAGAAAACTAGCTAGTGGAGAGTTTAAAGTTGTGGCCAATACCTCCACCAAATCAAGTTCGACGTGTGGGAGAATTTCAGTGTTATCTCAGATAACGAAAACGACATCAACTTTTGACGTCTTGTCTTGGTGGAGAGAGCATGAGCGTTTGTTTCCCAATGTTGCTCATATTGCAAGATCTATTCTCACCATCCCGGCATCCAGTGCCGCAAGTGAGCGAGATTTCTCTTGCGCCAGATATGTCATCCAGGAGCGAAGGAGTCAGCTGAGGCCATCAACTGTGGACGATATCCTTTTTTTTTTTTTTTTTTTTTTTACACAGTAATATAAAGCACCACACCAAACACTAGTCTATGCCTTTGCGTAGGAATTCCAATCGGGTAATCAAAGGAAAATGGACAGTGCACGTAGGTAACCTATAAAACCTAATAATGTGCAGGGTAGCCTAATGTACATTTTATATGATATTAGTTTTATTAACACATTTGATTTTAAGCTGGTAAGTCTATGTGTGGACATGGCAATATCAAACATTATTTGAGTTTGGAGGTAGACTACTACTGTTTGTTTTGCTTATTAGGCTGTTATTAAGCAGCGTTTTCATTTGGCTATGCCTTTTCAACTGATGTTGCGCATGTCACTGGTCATTTTTTGTGGCAAACTTTTGTAAAATTTTGGCTATCTGACTGATTTCCATTTGGGTGCGGGTCGGGTGTCGGTATTTATAGAGGGTCGGATCGGGCGCAGAATTTAATTTTATTTCTGTCGGATAACTGTTCGGATGCTGGTTTAAGTATGACGGGTACGGGCTGGTGCGGTTTGTCAAAATCAGACCTGTGCAGCAATAATCATATAAATAATTTTCATATAAATCATATAAATAAATTATTTATTATTTGACCCGACTTGATTACATCATCTTTGCAGGCGAGGAGAGGAAATTTCTGCGGTAGGTCGGTATAATCAAAATCCCTCCCGTTGGCCAAATTTATATCCTATACCATTTACCGTTTTTTACAGCAGAGTACTACGGCCAACTGTCAACACATATTGAATGTCTCAATGCACCACTGCTCTTTAACTGTTGAAGAATGGACAGTGTATGCTCACTCGCTGCTGAAGAATGGACAGTATAAGTTCATTGGCTACTGAAGAGTGGGAAGGGTACACTCATTGGTCTAAACTTGTTTAATAATCTTCCCACTGTACAGGAGGCAGGCAGACTGCTGTACCTGGGCCAGAATGAATGGGCTCATGTCAATTGCTCCATGTGGTCAGCAGAGGTGTTTGAAGAGGACAATGGCTCTTTAATGCATGTGCACAGTGCTGTTGCTCGCGGTCGCCTCATGGTAAGTTTGACCAGTTCTGTCCAGTTTGCCCTGACTGTTTAATCCGTCCCCCTTGTCATTTGAAACATTTAATATGCACACTCAGTACCAGTCAAAGCCAAGCAACCCACAAGTACCCTGTATCTCTGGGATTTGCTACTGAATTCCAGGGAAGGCCAACAATCAGAAATCGAAGAATGCTCACTTTTCTGATTGATGTTCTAATCCCCCACCCCTTTTCAGGTATTTTTGGAGAAAGATGCAATGCAAACACAAAAAAAAAATTCCAGCAGATGTGCTCCTAGCTTTTGTCTGCTACTGTGTGTATAATTCATGTAAAATGTAGTGCCCTCCCCTGTCATTTATCATCCTATCCCTGTGTTAATTGTACTTCATTTCCACCTCTCTCATAAATTTAAATGTTATACTACTTGTCATTTTATTCATTGCTTATCTTTTCTTTCCAGCGATGTGAGCGATGTAACCAGACTGGGGCAACTGTAGGTTGTTGTCTGACCTCTTGCCAAAGCAACTACCACTTCATGTGTGCCCGTACCCGAAACTGTGTCTTTCAGGATGATAAGAAGGTATTCTGCTACAAGCACCGGGATCTTATCAGCGGAAAGGTATCACTCTATGGCTGTACGGATGAAATGTATGTCGCAACCTTTTTCACATGTCAGAAGGGGGTAAAATGTATTATCTCTTGTCTCCCTCATTGAAGATAATTACTGGACAAGGTTTTGAAGTTCATCGAAGGGTATATGTGGATTTTGAAGGGATCAGCCTTCGTAGGAAATTCCTGACTGGTTTAGAGCCAGAATTAATCAATATATTGATAGGTGAGTTGAATACCTTACCTGATAAATAATTTGAGTGAAAATTCATGTTCCTTCCATTTTCTTATAAGCTTCTTTTTTTTGTCTTTTTAAGGCTCATTGCAAATTGAAAAGCTGGGTGTATTAACTGAACTTTCAGCATGCCAAGGAAAGCTGTTTCCTGTGGGGTATCAGTAAGTTGAATCTCTTACATCTTAGAGTTTTCCAAAGACTTGAAAGACCTGCAGTATTAAATAATATTTAGTATCCTTGGTAAGTAGAACCTCAAACACTCAAATTCCTTTCTGCTCATGCTTTCCATGAGATGTTCACGGTGGTTCTGGAGCACGGTGGACCCACGTCGCAGATGCAGATACACATGTCGGATCAAGGAGGTTCGACCTCCCATCCAGGAGAAGCTGGTTGAAGAGACACCAGACCAGGGAGAAAACCACACGATTGCCCACAGCCCCTGTTCTCAAACAGGTAAGCTATTTAGGTGTCCAATGTGTTCTGGAATTGCTTATTGTCTAAGCCTGTGTTTTTAAATGGTGGTGTGAATGTTCTATAGATGCGTAAACCTCTGGTAAAATTAGTTTAATGGAATTATTAGTGCTTAATTTTGAAGATACTTTTGAAAACACTGCAGTATAAGATAATGTTAAAAGTTTGTTAGCGTCTAAGAAATGAGTTAGTCAATGGTGTTATGATAAAAGGTTCCTGTAAATTCACTTGATGAACTTTTTAACTTAACTGAAAATGGTGTATAATGACTGACCTACAAATGTGTATCTATAGTGCTATTTTTGGTGCATTTTTTATACAAGTTAAACTCCAGTATCTGAAATGCCTTGGAGTGTGTTGGTGTGTATGTCAGTGAAGCACACAGCTGGGCAAATAAATTTTTCCACTTACTGTGCTGTGCTGCCATGTATACTACAATTTTATACAGAAACTAAATCCATGGATCCCCAAAAGTTTCCAAATCACTCCCCAAAAGAAGAACCTTCCTTCCCACCCCCCCTAACAAAAGCAGACCCAGGAGCGAGACCCAAAGTCCCTGGTTATCCTCAAACCAGGAAACCTGCTGGGGGAATGTCTCGACCCCTCCCTTCCCCAGGTAACCACTGCATGTATAAATAGGCTTGCAAAAAACATTGCAATTGAAGGGATTTCTTTGGCATTATTAATTTTGGAAAAACTTGAGAAAATGCTATTTGAAATAAAGTAATTGGGCAGTGGTGGCCTAATGGCTAGGGATCCGCACTTGTAATTGAAAGATTGCTGGTTTGAATCTCTGACCAGCAAGGCATCATTGAGATACCCTGAGCAAGGCACTTCTCCCTGAGCGCTGAATTAGCTGCTCCCTGCTATGTCATGATGGGTTAAATGCAGAGGACACATTTTGTTGTTGTGCACTGTGTGTTGTGGTGTGTCAACAATGATCACTGATCACCAAAAATTCTAAATTCTAATTCCTTTTTTTCAAAGTAATGATTTGGAAATCATTCCTATTTGTTATATAGTCCATTGGCACAGACATTATTATTGTTGTTGTTGTTATAAAGATGATAATGGTGATAATTTGACAACTATCTCACTCGCGTTTCTTCCTCTTTAGGGGCAACACTTTCGAAATCTCACCATATCCTCACCATCAGTGATTTGGATGAGACCTGTCGTCCACGTCGCCATAGTCCCAGCTCAAATGCCACTGGGACCCGCAATCGCATCTCGTCCCCACCCTTGGGTACATCCTCAGGAGCGATCGCCCTTCGAGAAGCTGGGTCCCTGCACCCCAAGAACTCTCCAACAACCTCTCCAGATTTCTCTGTTGGTGCTACTGAAAATCAACTTCCCTGTCCTTCGACTCGTCTTGGGGGTCGCAGCACTCCCTTAGCGCATGGTGCCAGGATGGTAGCGCCCCACTCTACCTCAGGACTTTTCCCTCAAACCCAATGGCAAGACAGTGTCAGCTCTCCTGCTTTAAATATGCCTGGCAGTTCGTTTTCTTCACAAACCGTTCAAAGATTATCTTGTGATTTAAAAAGGACAGACTCAACAGAAAGGCCCCATGATTTTACTGTATCATCAGAGCCACAAAATATAGTTTCTGCAAACATTTTACCAGGAAAAGGCACTTCTCTAGTTTCGAATCAGAGTTTCTCGTACAGTCCATTTGATGCTGACTCTGATGTGGGCGTAACCACAGACCTGGAATTTGAAGAGACCTTGCTTAATGAAGGTGTTGCAATGAACTGTGGAGCCCAGATTGTGGTTTGTGGGGATGGAGAGGAGAACCTGGATGAATTTCGAGATGGTGAGGTAGACATAGGTAAAGGGACTACTCATGGCAGAGCTTCTACTCAATCCAGCTTGCCACCCAGGGAGGACTGGGGTAACACATCCTCTGATGATGACATGGAGAATTACTACAATTTCTCCCGCACAGTAGTGACTCACACTGTCCACAAGGAGGTTTCGCAAGCTCCAACACCCTCTTCCTCAGGTACCATTTCCCAGCTAGATGGTGTGGATGATGGGTCAGAAAGTGATGCTAGCATGGTCACCAGTGATGGTACTCAGAACTTAAAGAGCTCTACCCAAACTCAAATTCAGAATCCCAACCAGTTACTTCATTCACTGCATCAGGAGGACAGGCAAACTAATGGATTATGCAACCTGACTGTGGCCTCTACATACCCTGGTTGTGGTACATTGGCCAAAGCCAGTACCTCTTCTTCCTCAGAAGTACCGTATGGCTACACACGCTGTGGATCCCCCAAAGCAGAAGATTCCAGTAAACAGGAGAGTGCCATTACAGAGCATACCTTGTTGCATTACACAGCAGCTGACTCACTTGCACCTCACAAAGCTTTTATGCAAACAAATGAAGTAAGAAAATGTCCCGCTATAGACTTGCCCTCTGGTCTTCAACAGTCAATTAGCATTATACCTGCCAAAAATTATGATAATATGACTGGTGCAGAGCTCTCTAAGAGTTTACAGGTTCAAAGAGAGTCCGATTCAGAACTTTCTCTTGTGCAAGAGCGTCGTGACCTTCCTTTACCAGATATTTGCATGACTGATCTGGTAACAGTCCAAGATTCAGTGGACACAGACTCAAAGAAAGATCGCCAAGGAGTTTTCTTGGATCCCAGCAGTGGGCATTTTGTTTCAGCTGAGGATGGCTCTGCGATTGACTTGAACCCTGTAACTGAAGGCATAGATAAAACAGGTTCATTGGAAGGCACAGATGATGGCAGCCACAGTACGATGATACGTCCTTTTCAGTGCACACCTGTTCTTCAAAGAGCTGTTCTTGATAGCTCTCAGGCTTCTCCAGGTCCATTACGGCACCCAATCTCAATGCAGCTCCCGATGCCGACTTTCAGACCTGCGCCCCTTGCCCACATCCGTGCCACAGTTGACCCTCTGCATTCTACCAGGATGACAGTTCTGCCTTCTGTGGAGAATTTCCGCACCTCTTTATCACCCACCGAACCCTGTCGTCCAGTTCCTGTTACAGTAACTTATGTTTCCTCTGGTTTTCCTTCTCAGAATGAAACTGTTGTATCTTTGACACCAAGCTCTGGTCTCCCTCTTGGGTCCTATAATTCGTTGCCTGTCCCCATGTATCCGGCCCATACTTTACCAACAGGTGGTACAGCCGTTTCTTCTCACACCATCACTAAAACTGAAGGTCTATCTTTTCAATTGAGGGATGCCCCCCAGTGCCAGCCAGTACGTCCCACATCTCATCCTGCCCCTATCTCTACACCCACCCCCATTTTAATAAATGGTTGTAATTCCACACCTTTACAGAAGGATGCCTTTGCTGGGCGCACTATCTCGATAAACTTTTCCACCCCCAGACCAGCACTGGAGCCCCAGCAACAAGTAGTAAATCAGTCTTTACCGGGTCATGCAATACTCACAGTTCGTGAGGTGGGTGGCCCCAATGTTGACTCTACCCCACATGTCTTACTTGTCAATCGCCTTGGTCAGATTTTTGTCAAAAATCCAGAAAACAACACTTTTCAGCTACCTAATCCCAGTTCCCCTTCCTTTGCTTCTGTGAATCAAATCGCTAGCCTCCTTCAAAGCAATGCCCTGTCTGCCACTCTGGCAGCTGCAGGAAACGTGTCAGGTGTCGCAGGACCGACAGTCCAAACTCAAGCCCCCAAGATGGTGACCCCTGTGACATCACTATCTGTAATGCACCCAGGAGCCTCTGTCCACCCTGTAGGCCACAGTGGTAATGGGATGGTAGCAGCTCCTGAGGCCTTTCTGGGAAGGAAATCAAAAGTAACGATCGATAATACAGCCCCTGGGATGAAAAAGTCCAAGAGCAGGAAAGCTACTCCTAACCCCAAAAGAAATAAGTTAAATATGGCGGCTGTCCCCAGCCCTGAGCTGTCCACTATTCAAGATAAACCCTCACTAAATGCCCAAGCCATAATTAACAAAGCCATGGCTAGCTGCTACAGTCCTAGTGGAGCCAGCATTCTGAGCCCTTCTCATTTACGCACCTTGAACAGAGTACCGGCGCCAAACTCTGTGGTGCTGCCCCCTGATCTCCTTATTGAACCTGAACCTGCAGCCACACCTGTAAGCACAAGCTCTCGCCCCCGTTCTCAAGTCCGCATTAAAAGGGTATCATCCTTATCAGACCGTATCACAGCCAAAAAGTCAAAGGTTGACATCACGGAGTTGGAACCTTCTACTACACTGGAAGAACAACGTAAGACTAACAGTACTGTGGCAAGGTGGGTTGAGAAAAAATGTTGACGGGGTTTAGAGAAGTCAAGATTTTGGTTGGCTAGTGCGGTCGTCTTGATAAATTAACACGGTGTTCCTGTCAGGTCCGGAGGTGTCCGCATAAAAACTCCCACTGTGAAAGGTGTTTTGGACCTAGATGATCTAAAGGAGGAACGCCAAGGCAGCTTTGAGAACCCAAGGTAAACTTTAATGACCATTGCATTGTGAATTATTTTGTTTTAAGAAGTAGGAATGAATCGATGAAAAGAATTGGGCAAAGAAAACAAAACGGCTTCGAACATGCATACAAATATGACTCCACAATCTAGGTACAAAATTGAAAACATTTTAAGCAATTTAAATTGTATTATTGGTAAAATAAGTAGGAATTAACTAAAATATTGGAAGTAACTGAAAATATATAGATCACTTGGATAATGCAATTACTCACTTGGATAATGCAATTACTAATGGAGTTAGTGGGCTGAGAAATGTTTTACTTAATGTTTTACTTTTTTTTTTATGTCACAGGCCAGGACCATGGGATCGCTTATCTTCAGCATCTAAGGGCGGGGATGTTAGCTACAGCAAGCCACTTATGTGGGACAGCGCTGGGCGCTATGCCCTAACTGACTGGAATAAGCACTCAGGTGGCTCCTCCATATTCATGCCATACTTGTTTTAATGTTAGTCACTTAATACTGACTTAGCACTGTTTGGTACCCTTAATCTTTCTGGGAATTGGAATTCTCTTTGTGTATAGTGCTCTTGTTAGCCCTAATGATGTATTTTGTGATATTTCTGTTAAACAGGTGTAATCTCAAGCTCAGATGATGAGATGCCTCCGCCTGAGTTGGATGATGAGTGTCCTGTCAACAAAGATCAGCCTCATCTGCGCTTTGAGATCACTAGCGAAGATGGCTTCAGCGTAGAAGCAGACAGTATAGAGGGTATGATACTGTCTTCTCCCAAGCCTTCTGTATGATTTTATAAATGCATAAATTAAAAATTTGTAGTATGCCCAAACTGAATGCATTTACACACTGACGTACCATTGGGTATTTGGCTGACATTCTGGTAAGTGTAGCTGATCGTACCTTAGTTCCATGCAATGAAATGATGAATATCCAGTCTTTGTAAGCTGTAGGAAAAATAGACCTTGTATATTGACCCGTTGCTCTTTCTTCTCATTTGTTAGTGGCTTGGAAGGCTGTGATCGATGGAGTGCAGGAGGCCCGAGCTGGAGCACGTCTCAGGCAGCTGTCCTTCATCGGCATGGGCGGGGCACGCATGCTGGGTGTCCTCCATGACGCAGTGGTATTCCTTGTGGAGCAGCTCCAGGGGGCCAAGCGCTGTCAGCGCCATACCTTTCGCTTCCACAAGCAGGACACCCAAGAGGAAGAGCTTCCCGTCAATCCCACTGGCTGTGCCCGCTCTGAGGTTTATCTTAGGTGGGGCAGCATTTTATTTAACACACAGTGCACCATCATAAATGCTTATGCTATTTTTCACCAGAAATGTTATCTTTGCACATAAAATTATTAACAGTAATCTTGTGCTTTCAGTCAAGATACTATCAGTTAATGGATGTTTTTTGCTGCATGTTTCTTCACAGGAAGTCCACCTTCGACATGTTTAATTTCCTGGCTTCCCAGCACAGACAGTTGCCTGACAATGGCCCTTATGACGATGACGAGGAGGAAGTTCCACTGAAATCCACCAGGTAAAAGACAGCTGCTGGTAGAGCAGGCTCTGTTCTCAAATGTGTTTTGACAGTGTGCACATAAATATCACATTTTACATTTTATCTTGTGCCTAATTTTTCTGTGGGTTGGAGTTGAAGTTTAATTTGCCTACTCCTAAAATTCCCATTTCAATGTTGTGTAAACTATGTTGTATTTACATAGTATTTGTTTGCCTTATCTCAACAAAAGGAATTGCTT